AAAGTGCTGTATGTTGAGCGGAACATTTCTTTGTTCATTATTTGTAATGAAACCAATATCACGCATCGGAGTCCAGATGAAGCCGGTGTATCAAGCCCCGGCTTAGAGAACCTGAGGGCTCATTACGGTGTTCACAGTATAAACACCGAGCATATCATGCCGACCCTCATGGCACCGGAGACATAAGATGAACGATTTATCGTCGTTATGAAAGCTGTCTACGGGCCTGCCACGTTTGTATGCAGCAGACTTGGCATCCATCGACACGTCCAATCCCTCTTCTCGTCTCGGAGATACCGAATCGCAACTGTGATGTACGTCGCAATCTGGTCAGGGGCCTTAACAGAACTTGACACCAGGACAACACGGGTCACTTACAGGTCCGGCCGCAATGTTCTAGATCCTGAGATCAGATATGTATGTGTCCCAAAAATTATGTACCGAAAAATGGAAATGACAAAAAGACTTACAGACTGTATTTCAAATTTTTAGTGTTGTTTATCAGAGTGTTGAAAAGCCCGTTGAAAATGAACGGGAAATCATTTCTTTCGCATCGTCATCTTTGTTGTTCCTTCCTTTCTCCGTTAAAATAGTGAATTACGATACAGCCCCATTCTTCAGATGGCAATCTCCGTGGCCTGTAATCCGCAAGCGAACTATACCGACCGAGCGACCGCCGCTTGTCGGCGAAGTTAGTTCCAACTTTAGCGTACAGAGGGTGTCACGTGGACAGCGCAACGGATCCCCACGACCGTTATCTCGGTTTTCTAGATCGGAGCCGCTACTTTTCCATTCAAGTAGCTCCTCAATTATCCTCACGAGGCTGAGTGGACCCCATTCGAGACCCATTACTTCTCAGAAAATATGGTAGGGCCAGGAATCGAACTCGGACCTCTAGAACTGTAGCTATGAACTCTGACCACTAGACCATAGAAGCAGTCTCCTTCAGATGGTACAGTTCCGAAAGCGGAAATGTCATCTATATGAAATCTATGAAAGCGCTGGACAACATAACATGCACACATAGATGACGCACATAACGACAAGCCGTTTCCTGTTATTGTTGGCTATTCGGATTCTATACGCGAGCAACACTAACCTCCAACTACGTCACCTCCGTTGTCGCTCAGGTTTGCGTGAAGCTTCAAACCACTGGCAGGGTGAACAAACACTTCCTTGTAGGAAGAACGTATAGGTCTATCATAATTAAAGCGGGCAACAGTCATAGAGCAATAACACCGCTGGGCTACGTTCCTGAAAAACACTGCAGTCGGCAAGACAAACGCAATATAGGGAACGGTACTGCTTTTACCGGTTCTCACGGTCTCTTCGCTTGCGGATTTCTTATACTTTTCCTTCTACCCTGAAGATGGAGGAGATACGTTCCTCCGAAACGTCGGTTAACACCACATATACACGGTGCCAAATCCCAGAAGACTGCTTTCTTCAAGTAATAACATATTTAAAAATAATACATAAAATAACAATAAAATAGGGTTACAAAAGATGCACCGCATTGGTATGGCCTCTAATGTTCACACCAAGCTTAGCGAAAATTGGTGAAATGGTTTAAAAGTTGAAATGGGGGCACACACAAACATAGACAAACACCGGACGGTATGGTGATTTCATAAGCCTACTATCTTCCCACTCCTCCAAGAATGGAAAGTAGACTAGAATGGTTCCAGTCACAATGAAGTATCGAAGTGCAGAATTTTTAAAATGGCATTTCTTTTATTTTATTCCTGGTTTAGCTATGCTACCGGTAATTCCTACTTGATAACGTCGAGTGATCAGATAATGAGTGCTTAATGAATTGGAACGGATGTGGAAGGCAACGGCTAAAAACGCTTTCGACCCAATAAGCTTTATCAGAGTTCGACATCGGACGAACTAACTGAATAATTAATTGGTTTGGAACACTTCCACAACTCATGGGGCTCCTATGACGTAGCGACGGATGCTGAATGCAGTTCTCTGATCAAAGAGACGAAAGTAACAGAAGCAAGCGAACAATTCAAATACAAATAAATGTTGAGTTCACTCTGAAATATGAACACATAATTTTGAAGCGAGCACAAAAACAATTTCATTTTTAGCCTACTTTTCTTCTCTCAAAGACCACTTCTGTGGTCTAGTGGTCAGAGTTCGTGGCTACAGATCCAGAGGTACGGGTTCTATACTCGGCGCTACCAAATTTTCTGAGAAGTGGTGGGTCTGGAACGGGGTCCACTCAGCCTCGTGAGGATAATTGAGGAGCTATTTCAAGGAACTTCTGAACGTCTGAACCGATTTCAATGAAACCTGGTTATCATGCCACCCGAAGCCATATTAACTGCTTACTTCACAAATCCCTCTCATTAGCAATACCAATATTGCAGCCTCTAAAATTGTTGAGGTAATAACATTAGTATTACTTGAATACCTGAACCGATCATCATGAAACTTGGTATGTACATTATGCTACCTGTGGCCACTCAAGAGCACACTTCACAAGTCCATCCCATCTGTAATACTAGAATAATTTTATTCTGCTCTTCTTTACTACTGTATTAAACATACAGTGTCGCCACCAAAATGCACAATTTTCAAACACGTGATTCAAGAGGAAGTATCATTGCTCTAAAACGGCAGGGTATACAGAATCTACTAATATTAACTTTGAATGGCAGCTGTGCCGGCCATGACTTCATAAAATGGCGCATTACACACCATTCTGTTTTCTATATATGTCTATATTAGCTTCAACTAAGCATAAAAATGTTTTTCAAATAACTAAACACCACGTGTCAGTAAGAAAGCATATGCCATATCAAAACATAATAAGGTCCTCTCGCTTCTATTCTGCTATTCTACGTTTCTATGGTTTGTGTGCATTCTGTTCTATGACATGCAAATGCTGCTGGACGTTTTGTATATAAGTGCTACATGTACAAATATTAAGCGTAAAGACCGTTCGGGACATTCTGACTTCAGTATCTTAATTTCTTACGTTGTTGTACAATTTAAATTATCACTATAAGTCCCGATGAGGTCACTGGATTTTGTTTTCAATTGACCTAGTCCTTCCGGCCGCACCATGGCCCTGGGGTTGACTCAGCCTCTAACAGAAATGAGTACCAGGAATTAATTAAATAATTTTCCTCGGCAGTAAATCGCGGCCGGCGCGTAAGGCTGACAACCTTACCGCCATCTTTGAGTCGACTGTCTAGATAATGTGGGGCCCTCGACCTCTAACAACCCTATGGGCCTTCACGGCCTCTTACAGGGATAGCTTTACTTAATTTTACTACTGACAGACCTATTTTCCGCAGAATGTTTTCTTTTAGAACTTCACATAGCCATTCGGTATTTCAAACCGAATGCGATCAATGCATTCTTTAAAGGTCGCCAATATTAAAATGATACGAAAATTCAGCCAGACCATAGTGATCGCGTACAGACAGATGGTGCCAGTACAGTAATATTAAAGGGATTTACACAAGATAGTATTACGGATCAAACAGTAGGCTACTATTTTTCTCGAATAAAAATAAAGAGTGGTGGTTTCACATGCAATATCTTACAGGTTTACATCCTGGGGAATACTCTTCATTTCCTACAGCTAAATGCTGAAATACTACAATATCCTTCCTAATTATCACCAATCCAATCCAGAACTCCGTGGCCTGCAGTCCGCAAGAGAACTACACCGATCGAGTGACCGCCGCTTGTCGGCGAAGTTAGTGCCATTTTTAGCGGATAGAAGGTGTCGCGTGGTCAGCGCAACGGATCACCACGGCCGTTAATCTCGGTTTCACAGACCAGAGCCGCTATTTCCTTGAAATAGCTCCTCAATTATCTTCACGAGGCTGAGTGGACCCCGTTCCAGACCCACTACTTCTCAGAAAATCTGGTAGCGCCAGGAATCGAACCCGGACCTCTGGATCTGAAGCCAGGAACTCTGATCACTAGACCACAGAGGCGGTCTCAATCCAGAACTAACCCAAAATTTTACACATCTTCCCTCAACCTCATAATAACATTCACCTATGCCTACTTCATCCCCCCCCCCAAAACTAACAAGTTCTGGATCTCGCAGTTTTCAATTATTTTAAAAATACAACCTTAGACGTTGATCAGAACTTTAAGCATGACTGTTGGTAGAGCCAATCTTCTGGTTGGGGTGGGACGGTTAATAATGATAATGAGACTTCGGTCGTTGTGTACACCCCGGAAACAAATGTCTGGCTCTCCAATAAAAAAGTCTACAATCTCGGCGATCGAAAGAATAAAATCGGTGAAAAATTGTCCGTCTGCTTTTTTGACATCAAAAGTCTTTAAAATAAAAATAAAAAAAAAAAGATTCGCCCAAATCAAACAAGCAACCTTGTTTTTTACTTTAAAATTGTGGATATTTTAAGGCAGTGCATTCGTGAAAAGATCAAATATTTTACCGGACAAGCGGATAGGTCTATCATGTTCCTGAAACTATAAATCTCCTTGAAATATTCTAATTTTGAATCACTTGAAACCAATCAGAGCAATATGACAATACTAAATGCGCTTTCGGAAAATTATTTCTAGTAATATTTCAAGGCATGGCAGAGTTACTGAAGCGAGTATGAAATGTCAAAAGGTGGGTACTCTGAAGTTAACCGCATGAATTGAAGCGTAGTAACACCATCTATTTTTTTTTCAGAATCAGTACGATTGTTTAAATGGCATGCCTCGTCAACCTGAAGGAATCAAACAAACTGATAATCAGTGTGTGATTCCTTAATACTGCAAAACCTATGTTTTAACTGCGTATTTCTGCAACAATAAAGTGTTACTAGAACTCATATTAAAACTCTGTCCTCTTCCTGCATTAATAGAGGTTCCTGTATATATTAGAATATAGTGACAAATTGTGTACAGTGGATATAATGTATATAGACCCTTCCTTATTCGCTATAGGAGTAAGGTACCCCCCACCCCCACCCCGCCGGTTGATGATGGTGAAATAAGTGGACACCTACCTAGAAACACCAACTACTCCCTTCATCAAAGTGCAGGTTAAATAAAAAAAAATAGTGGTTTTAGGTGAATAAATATACGGTCATGGGTCCCCACGGGGCCCCGATACCACGTGTACGACAGTGCTGGCAGGTTGCCAGCAGCACGTTTAGGCTCGACTCTGCTATCCACTATATCTTCCTGCAGATTTAAAACTTGAAAGCTTAAGAAAATCAAGAATTGTGGATCCCAATGTAAGGTAAATGTATCCAGTTCCTTAAGTCGCATACGCAACAAGATGTTGAAGTACACACACTCACTGACGAGAGAGACAAAATGCACACCACTATAACACACAATCCCTGCTTCACAACTGAGAGGAATGAACACTCCCATGAAGAGTTCCGCAATATCTGCGCAACAACGAGAGACGGAAGCAAACATTAGCATGAAGGAATGGTGCCATAAAAGGATATCTTATCAAATGTATGAGCAGTCCACTTAGCGGTAAAAACATACATATCACAATTTGTTAATGTTTCCAAGGAACGAGACCAGAAACAGAATTAAACTTTCTAAATGAGATTTGAGATTGTCAGGGAGACGATTATTAACATTTCTGTTTTCCGGGATACAGAATATGGTAGATATTTTCCAACATTTCGGAGGAACATGATACCCCCATTTTTGGAGTCAACCCTTCAGACGGAGACAAGACGTTCCTCCGAAACGTCGGTAAACATCTGCCAGATAACACAGCATCACGCCTCAGAAGAGAGCAATCTTTAAGTAGTTAGTATAGGATTCTGACGATGGTGTATAACACACTGATATATTGGGTTTCTGGACTTTATCCATCGTCCTAGTTTTTAATATAACAAATAAAAACACGACGTTTCGGAAACTGGATCTGTTTCCGTCCTCGGGTGAAGGAAAAGGGGAACACTGGACTGGTCCAGTGATTGAGGCTAGCTCTTTCTAACGGACCCAACAGAATAGGTGTTCCCCTTTTCCTTCACCTGAGGACGGAAACAGATCCAGTTTCCGAAACGTCGTGTTTTTGTTATATTAAAAACTAGGACGATGGATAAAGTCCAGAAACCCAATATATCAGCAATCTTTAAGCCTAGTTAAGTTTTTATCTTCATCTTGAAAATTCCATTTAAATTTACCATTAGCGTTCATACTGTGGTTTGCTGAGCTGTGACACCGTGTATTCTGATAAATGGGTTTTAATATTTCAGAGAAGAATGCTGCTTTTATCTTCAGAGCAGAATCTGGAGGCAGTATGTACTTCCGGAACGTTGGTGTAAACCTACCAGACTATACGGTCTCATAACCCTGAAGACCAGAATACAAATCTGCATAGCCGTGAAAGGATCGAACCATACTGGCGTTCTGGGACGACAATTTTCGGCGACAGCAGCGCCCTACAGACTACTATGAGCTATATGCCCATCTGTCACGCAACACTTCCTGACGAACGGTTGTCTTGTTTGCATAAGCTAATGGCGATACCAGACAATTCTACTACTACACTGCAGTGCACTGCACTCTGTACTAACCTAAGCAAAAGTCAAAGTTACTTTACGACTGGCGGTTTACCGCCAATCGCTTTGTCTTGGCGTCAACTCCTTGCGACCCACGACCAGATCTCTAATCTAAGCTACAACAGGTCTTCGTTATATAGACTCCGCACGGACAAATATACGCTAATAACAATTTTCTTAAACTACCGAATTGTGTTTCACATAAGTATATATATTACATTATTACAATTATCAATGGATCCTGTTATATACATAGTCATTACCTTCTACATGTCAGAATCATAACTATATCTTTAAACATATTAAAACATATTCAAAATTTTCGATGCTTACAAATATTCATAAAAATACGAGTAGTATAAAATATATAAGTTAATAAGGTTTAAAATTATGTCATAACAATACACTTAAATGTTTGTATTATCACATGCAGTCATTTCATATCCTTTTTTTCGCGTTAATGTTAATTGTAATTTAAATAAAAATGAACCTATCTCCAATAATGATGTTGCGACGGAAATGCAGAAGAAAATGGAGTCGATACTTGCAACTCCCTTCATGAACGACTTTCGACAACTAGTATGGTTGACCACATTTCGGCCCAACGAGGAAAAATCTGTTCACAAATGTGATAAAAGAAAGACGTGAGTCGTGACTAATTACGAGTAACTAACTCCACCGCGCAGTTGCTCAGTTACTCAAGAATTTCCCAATATTTTATGGAACCCGAGGGTTCATTACTATGTGTATGTTCACAAGAGCCTTCCATTGGTACCTATCCTGACTCAGATCAATCCAGTCCACTGCGTCATAACCAAGCATCAATTATAGCTGAAGGAAGTATGTTGGTAACATATTTAAGGCGTGAAGTGAATTCTGCAGCTGAGCAAATAATTATTTGTATCGATCTAGTAGAGATTTCTTCAACTACGCCAGAAAAACTGCTCAGTAGTTTAAATGAAAGGTTAACTGAACATTTGATAAGAGAGTTATATGAGCCTGAAGTACACGAAGAAACACATGCAGCTCTCCGCCCAAGTGTTCGCTGGTGGTGGCAAATTTCAATGATATCTGGGACGTGTCGATAAATTTTTGAAACTCCTTGTTATCAACTTTCATTAAAGTCCTCTCAGCTACTCTCGGGTAGTTAAATAAGGGCAAGCAGACAGACAAAGACAGCAAGGTGTATATAGCGAAGTTCATATGCGTATCTTTTAGACCTTTCGTTGTTACGAAATAAAAATGTCTAGCCCCTCACGTTAACATTCATTAGAACTTAGTCCTTTCCCCCGTTCCATGCCTCATTTTGAGCAGTCGTGACTGCTGCTTCTAAATTTCTAGAATCTGGTTGACAAAATTAACGACATTCGCAAAAAATAAATAAATAGCATGTACTTTTTTCACATCCTTGTAATTGCTGCTTGTGTTTCATTATGTTTTGTACCCTAAATAAACCGCACAATGACTGCACAATACTGTTCAGGAAAAATAAATTCAGGCTTCGGAATGAGACGGAGTCGCATGGTTACCTTCACGCTCCAACCGCCTTTATCCTACATAACGGGCCTTTGGCATCATTGGGTAGCAATTCATTCACTGAGGTTCATTATCTTGGAGGATGAGACGGTGTAATGTAGTGTACCAGATTACCGACGTTTCGGAGGAACGTACTGCCTCCCTTTTCATGGCTGAAAAGTAAGCCGAGCAGGCAAGCATGAGCCAGCACATTTCTCCGAAACATAGATAAATTACTACCAGACTGCAGGGCATCACATCCCAAAATATGCTACTCTTCACAGTCACTGCCGTAAGAACCTCAAATTTCGCATGTATTTAATATACTTGACCTGATTACAAAAAAGAAAAGCCCTTTAGAAGCTGGCAGCCGTTCTAAGATATTTGCCACTTCTTATGAAACCCCAACATTCATTATCATGTTCAGAACAGTTGGACGCTATCAAAGAATTCGTTCAAGTAAGAGGTCCTGTGTAACATTTCATAACATGATGCGTTTTTACGGCGAGCGATTATTAACATCCCACTAAACCATTAGGCTGGAGGATCATCCTTTGTCGGACGTCCGCGATCCCTTATTCAATGCATAATACGTTACCCTCGATATCTGAAGGCAGCCTCCTCCATTCACAACTTGACAATGTGCCTTGCCACGGCAAGGGATCCATTTACCATGGCTCAGTTCCATGGAATTTGTTCTATACAAAGATGTAAAGAGGAATTTTACGGCAATTAAAAGCATTCCGGAAGTTACCAGACAGATATAATCTGACGAAAACTTACATGGTATGACGTGGCAACAACTATATAAGATCGTAAGAAACTTACACGAGCGAACCAGATGCTGAAAAAAAAAGAGAAGATTTTTATAATATTCCTGCATAAGTAAAAAGGTAAAACTCACACCATTCCTGTTGAAGATCTAACCGCGACAATCCAGTTAGGTGACCCTATTTATAACACATCGACAATGTCAAATATAGTTTCAGAACGTAAATGCCTTTATACCATATATATGGTACAATATGCGCCAAAAGACGCAGTATTGAAACTCGCGCATCTCGAATGCGCATGTGGGTTTGTAGACGGGGAATAGCTCCAGCCGCATGTGTTCCCAGTAGTGAAAAGGCAGTTATATTTTGCAGTTGTTGTTGGAAATGGGTCTCTCGACGGAGGAAAAAGTATTCATAGTTGAGTATTATTTCCGCTCATACGGAAGTGGTTGCCAGACAACTCGCTTCCTTGGTTTTGAGCGGCCACATGTTATCGTCCAGAAACCGCTACATAGTACACGTGTGACGCTATGGTGTGCCGTCTCAGCACACGGTATATTAGGCCCCTATTTCATTGAGGATGAGGAAGGCAATGCTCTTACCGTCACCCAGGAATGCTACAGGGATATGGTGATCGGACCCTTTCTTCAGGATCTGAGAAGGTTCTGTCGTGCAAGGGGCCTTAACATGAATAGACAGTGGTATCAACAGGACGTCTTTTCATTTCAGTACTGTGTTTTGGCGCATACTCTATTATTTACATTAAAATGTTGGCTAAAAGACTGCATAAACATTGATTAAACACTAGCATGATACTTAATTATAACAGAAACTTAAATACGTACGCTTAAAACATTCACGGGGGCACGCGGTGGCGTGGTTGGTTGAGGCACTATGCTACAAGCCGGAAGGTCGCGAGATCGAATCCCGATGAGGTGGATTTTTTCAATTTACGTAATCCTTCCAGCCGCACTATGGCCCCGGGTTCGACTCAGCCTCTAACAGAAATCAGGAATCTTCCTGGGGGTAAAGGGCGGCCATCGCGTAAGGCTGACGTTACCGCCATCTGTGGGCCGATTGTCTAGATAATATGGGACACTCGACCTCTCATAACCCTATGGGCCTCCACGGCCTGTTACAGGAATACTTTTACTTTTTTTACGTAAAACATTCACATAGACGTTCTTCGGCTTAATCGAAATTTTAAACAATTTAAAAAAGACTGAAGACAGTCACAATATAATGGACTGCTCGAACCAGCAGCAGTACATTTCGCATCTAATGTGAATCCTCTCCAGCGATTCTCCTCAGCACTTCCACGTGAACTGTGATACAATACACTGAAGCTGTCAAAGCCAGGTTCTTCATAGTCCGCACATGGGCCTGTAAGCACACACCAGCCATTCCGGTAGCGGCATGCCTTCATGTGGAGAAACCAGACTATGAGTTGTCCTGTAGTTGAAGAGATCTGCCTACTGTCATTATTAGTTACCATGCATGAAATATCTTCGAGCGCGTGAC